GGCAAGCCCATGACTGAAGAAGCTCTTCCTCCTCTATGCCATCAGCCCCTAGTAGAGCAGGATTCTCAAAGCAAGTCCCATGGTCTAAGTAGCTGAACCCCTACCTGTGGAACCAGTCCTGTAACCATTTGTTGCCTCACCAGATTCGACTGGCCCCTTCAAACCCCTTCCCTTTGACCAGGAGGACTGATTAAGAACTACCTGCACTTCAGTGTCCCTTACTGCCGCTCCCACTGCTCTGTAATCCTTCTAGATACTCTTCAGTTTGCTCCTGGCTGTGTCACTGGTGCCCACGTGAGTTGCTCCTGGCTGTGTCACTGGTGCCCACATGAAACAACAGCAGAGCGGTGGATAACAGTCAGTGGGCTGTACGAAGCTTGGTAGTCTCTTGATGACATCCCTGATCCGAGGCCCCATTAAGCAGCACACCTCTCTAGAGAGTGCATCAGGTCAGCACACGGGCGCCTCTGTACCTCTCAGAAGAGTCACCTACTACTGTCACCTGTCACCTTTTCTTAGTTGTGCTGGTTGTTACACAGGGAGCAGACCGGGCTGCCTTACTCAGCTCCAGCGTCTCTCCCGATGTGGTGGGTCTTTCCCCTTCCGTCTGCAGAGTTCTGCAATGGCACCTCAGTTTTTGGGGGAAGTCTCTTCCTCCTGATGGGCCTTACTGTCACAAGCTTCCATTCTTCGGCACTATTGGCCCCCGTTCCGTGTGCCAGTGGCGGAGCTTTGGGCTGTTTGGCCGTGGGCTGTGGGTCCACTGCTTGGAACCAGCTATCTAACTCCTTCTCAGCCTCCCTGATGTTACGCAGCCTTCTCACCACCTCTTGCTTGCAGCTCAGCCATCTGCTGCAGGAGGTCCTCTCCCTGGGGCACACCTTTTGCAGACAGGCCTGCCACCTGTACCCTGTCTTTTAACACAGAAACCATTTCACCAGTATTAGAGTGAAGTCAACTCACTTTATATATATATATAACACCAAACAGGTGGTCACAACCTGTAATTCTACCTCATGGTATGCTATTTGTTTAAAGGTAATTTTATTCCTCTTTACTGCCAAATTAATTTACTTAAATTTATGAAGTTTATAAAGACACATGATCAACTCATCAACTCTTTTTCTGGGTCCCTTTTATTTCTTTTGATCTGTCCTACATTCATAGAAGTTTGTTTTGCAGTTCCCTTCCATGGATACAATAAAATTTGGGCATTCCATAACTATTATGAAGAAACTGAAATACAAAAAAATGGAGTTGCAGTCATCTTACAGGAAACTATTTAGCTTTTAGAAAACTGTCCTAGAATTAAAAGACATTTTAAATGAACACATTTTGGTCCATTATTTATACACTAGACAGTTCAATGCCCAGACAGCACTAAATCACAATCTGAAAGTCCCTTATAGACCTAGAATTTGCTGAATATAAAGTATGTGAATATAGAGATACTCATAGTAGTTCAAAGTAAGTTAAAGCTAACCAAAGTAAGGTGTAAGATTTATCATCATAAC